AGAAGCCAGAGTCATTAACATTTTGTGCTCCATCCGCAGCATCAGAAAGTTGTAGTCGTATGAGGCTGTGTGCTGAGCCACTGGGAGGGAAGGAGGAAAGAATGAACAGCTTCTTCATATTTCAACAATAATATAATGTAAACAAACTGAATGAGCCTGTGAAAAGCTTGTATCTCATAAACCACTAAACCGTCCTCTTTGGCAGGGATTATATTGCTGCCCTCTGCTGCTGGGAAGTTGGGCGGTTCATCTGCCTAACGAGCAGAAAAACGGGCTATTTGCGATAAAAATCTCTGATTACATGTAACAGTTCTGTGGCCAAGGGCCTCGAGACACATAGTTCAAAAGTGAAGGGTGAGCTCCCCAGTCCTGCGAGAGGCAGGGGATGACAGCTCTCAGGCCGGGGGGCATGGCTGCTTCACCAGCAGCGTTCCCTGGGCTTTCATGGGCTCCCTTCTGCCTCCAGCCAGCCAGGTGATCTGCCATCCATGCGCCAACACGCTCTTAACTGGAATAGCTCCGTACTTACATTGCTCCCAAAGCATCAGGAATCCCTATCCCTCACCAGCAGTGAAAAAGGTCACAGGAAATTTTGTCCAAACTTCATGGTAAGGATTGCACTTTTACAGCTGGTTCTGACCTTGAAGCTTCAACTGCCCATGGTGTATACTGTAGTGGTACAATTTGGGGTGACTATGACCTTTTAAATTGTCACTGAGAGGGCAACTGAATGCTGTAATCTCCTTGGGTTACTGGGCAAGCCTTTCAACTAACTTGGAAAATAATTCATTTTCTAGTTTGTGTAGCCATGATATTTTCTGAAAAATCCCTTTGCCAGGATTTTTTCTCCTGAGAAGCTGAGAGGCCTCAGAAATGAAATGTAAACAATAATTATCTGCTGCTGTGGAATGCAACAGCTGGATCTTTGATTGGTCTCACGTGGTTGTTTCTAATTAATGGCCAATCACAGCCCAGCTGTCTCGGACTGCCTGGTGAGTCACAGACTTTTGTTATAATTCCATATTCCATTCCTTTCCTTTCAAGCCTTCTGATGAAATCCTTTCTTCTATTCTTTCAGTGTAGTTTTAATATAATATATATATAATAAAATAATAAATCAGCCTTCTGAAACATGGCGTCAAGATTCTTGTCTCTTCCCTTGTCCTGGGACCCCTGTGAACACCACCACAAGTTTGCTTTTGAACAGACTATTTACTTGGAGGAAGTTCCTATCTTTATCAATGTGTAAAATTGAATCTATGCCTATGCAACTGCCCTTGCCCATGGTAATTCAGAGCTGACTATCCTTTAATGACCTTTGGAATAGTGTGAGGAAATGGATACAATCCAAAAGGGTTACACTCCAAAGGAATGTGACTAGAATAGGTAGATAACAGGGAATATAAATCTTACTTGTGAATTTGCCTTAAGAAAGCGGGTTCAGTTATCATGGTTAATGACAGAGACTAATTCCTTAGGAAACCACCCCTTAGGAAGTTACTTTGCATACCTAGACCTTTTAAACCCCTTGTATTCAGAAAGCTTGCTGGTGGGGGACAATACATCACTGTATCTAAAAATTGCTTGAATTAAGCTCCTTTTCTGCAATTCCCCACGTGGAGGCTTTCATGGCTCTGATTCTACTCCCTCAAACAGCTTGTACATGCTGAGTTAGAAAAATCCCTACACACAGGCAAACAGCAGGCACTAAGTAAAGGAGCATTCAGTGCATTACTCAAACAATAAAAAGCTGTCCACAAACCACACCTAAATGACAAAGGAGAGGTTAGAATGACTGCAAGCAGTGTGGAATAGTAGAGGGGCTTTGAAAAGGAACAAACAGCAGCCCTAGCTCTCTCTCTTTGGAAGAAAGGAATATATTTTTAGAAGCAGTTAGCCTGGCCTATAAACCAAACCACAAGTATTTAGTCAGTGAATATATAGCATTTTCAGGCATTTCCTGTGATGAGCAGAACGCCCAAGAGACTGGGTGGAAAGCACCAAATACTAGAAAAGTGTTGGCATGGATTACTGCACAGGACAGCCTGCACGATGTCTGCAGGGTATCAGAGAACCAGTTAAAATGCTGCAGGGTAGCAGCTCTCTCTTATTAGTGTAACACACCCATTGATTCATGCTCATGACTGATGACAAGCTACTATTACAAGATATTAGGATGTTTTCCTTTATGTTTGCTTGGGTAGAGCAATATACTCAAATAATGAGTCACATGGCAGTCAGGGTGGGAGGGACAGCATTTGTTGGCAGAGTAACATTTCTGTGCAGCATACCAGTGACATGTCTTTAGCCTGAGAGGTTTCAATACTGGAGCTTCTCAGCACTGTTTGTGTGTTGTGTTATAGCTACAAGACATTTCACATTGCTTGACAGAAAGCTTTTGTGGGTGGTGGGGGGAGTTGCTACACAAGAACTTCTCCTCAGTTAGTGAGGAATCAAGAACTCTAAATGCTGATGACAAAGCAACATATCCTCAGGAGCACCAGGCCAAGGACCACACTGGCAAACCAGGTGAATTTCCTTCTTTTATTTACCCAGAGACCACATGGACTTAAACCCAGCATTTCATATTCTCCCTGTTGCATATGCTGGACTCTACCTTTTTTTCTAATTTGGCTCCACACCTGAGCACAGACTGACTATCTCCACAGGAAAGTACAACTTTGTGATACTGGATCAGTCCTGACACCCTGTCACTTTCAGAGTTCAGCCAATTTTTTTGTTGCATTAAATTTGGCAGAAAAATAACGCCCTTTTCATCCCAACTGATCTCAGATATCAAGAGGGGCTGGAGAAAGCTGGGCTTATTTTGAGTGAGAGCAAATTCAACACTAAGGAACAGAAATGCAGGGCAAATGGGACACTGTGATTCCAATTACACTCAATAAGAACTACCACATTTTCAAATTCACAAATGGTGTGATACATTCAAAGTCTGGTCACACCCAATGAACTCACAGTGCTGGCCTAGAAGTCCAGTCCTGATCAATTACTATCACAGCCAGGTGCAACACATGGGCAGGGTCATAATAGAAGAGAAGGCTCCAGGGAGGGCTGAGAGCACCTTCCAGTACCTAAAGGGGGCCTCTTTGACGTGCTTTGAAAGCGTGAAGGAAGCAGCAGCAAAATGGAAAGCTGGAGGTTTAGGAAGATGCAGTGTTAACTTCTTTAACTAACAGCAATGCCCCCATTGGCGCTCAGCAAATGAGTCAGGGGAAGCCAAGACTCCATGAAAATCAGGATTTGAAGCCAAATCTTGTGTGCAATTCGACTGGATTAGGTTTTCTTCCTTACTACTCTCCACAATTTTTTTTAATTATAGAAGCTGTAGACAACTAGTTTAAGAAAATATTCTCTGAAGTCCCCTGAAGAGAGAAGAAAGACAACTTTTGATATATGACATTCCATAATTAGTTATTCCTTGCTTCCCTTCCCACCACAAATACAATTTTGTTGTACTGATTTCTCTGAGACTCACAGTAGTCTGGAGCTACACTTTCACCAATATTAGTCTCCCTTTTCCTAGATATGATAGGTTTGTAGAACAATTTGTTTAGATCTAGTCTTTTAAGGGATTGGAAACACATACTGCACCAAACAACTGTTGTATGCCAGTGTTTAAAACACTGTCAGTCTGGGAAGTCTTTAGTTTTACTTTCCTCCTTCCATGGCACACAGACCTTAAATCATTCACCACAGTAGTCAAGCATGAAACTAAAACAGAGCACAGATCTACTTACTCTGATTGTCTCAAACTAAAGTACAGTGACAGAAAGCAGCTGTGAGGGTACACTTTTGTCTCCTCCTGTCTCCTAGGACTAGCAAGGATGGAAAAGTAGTATGTGAACAAAGAGCAAAAGGGCTACTGATAAGAAAGGGAGGCCAAGGATGACTCAGAGTGATCCAAGCATCACTGTGACAATGAAAGTGATTTTTCTGAAACTCAGAGCTTTTTCCCAGGCTGAAAATGCTTTTGTTTGTCTGTTTAAAATGAAGTCAAACTGATTATAAAGCAGGCCTTTATACAAGCCCCAGAACTGCTACAATTAAATGACACACAACTTTCAGGGCCAAGTTCTTTACCCTGCAAGTTGCTCCAGCTATGTTGAGGCTGGGGAGCAATCCCAGCTGCCATGGATATTAGCAAGGGAAGAAGGCTACTATGAACTTCAGAGGAAACATTAAAGTACTGCAGGATGGAAACTTCAATCACTGAATTGCAAGAAGTTTACTTAAAAGGAAGCATGAGAAACCATGCAACTATTTTAAAGGAAATTTAGAAAAGATGCATATGCTTGCATTCGTGGAGAAGCTGCCTGTTCTGCGAAAAAACTGCTTGCCCTCTAAAGCATAGTTAGTAACTGTCCCCCCAAAAACCTGTTTGGGTGATGCAGTCATAAAACCACTGCATGTGCACAGTGAGAGCAATGAAAATCACTGTATCTCTATGCAGCATTTGGAAGTACTCTTTGAAAAGTCAGATTTTCAAAACATACACATATTCATACTTCAGAAACAGAATATGAAAACATATTAGAACATCAAAAAACCCCCAAACCCCCCTCATCTGTACATTGTTATTTCTGGTTTCACAAGTTATTCTCTTAAATTAACTACATCAATCTAAAAATTCAAGTTTCTGGGCTCCCCTTTAAGAGTTTGCCTCCTACAAGAGATACTTTTACTCTGTGCTTCATCTTTGAGTCCACACATTACAAATACAAGCATGCCCAACACACCCACTCCTCCTCTCCCATTTTAAGTTTCTGCATTTCTGTGTTTCTGTTCTTCTTCATATCACATAAACACTCTACAGACCAAGTACAAAAATATAGTTCTACTGTACTCATGGACACTTTTAACATACACATGACATCAGTATCTGTGGTCAGCAGGCAGGGATTTAAAGCACAGCAAGTTCAAAGCAGCTGCTGATTTCACAAGCACACATTCCTAGAAAAAAAATGAAAGAACAAAGGGTGTGCAGAGAGCGAAAATCTTTATTGAAATATTGCAGTACCAAGCTTAAAAACTCTTAAGATATACAAAAAAACTTATCATTAAGATTCTTCATACCAATTCCTTCTACTTTACAAATACAGTGATGTGTGCAAAACTCTTGAACTTTTACTTGAGGAAATCATCCATACAGATGAAAACTCACATGTGATGACATGCTGGGTACCGTCTTCTGCCACAGAGGAGATCAAATGGCCAGTGTTGAGTTTTTTGTAACAAGATGCATTTTTCAAAATTACTTATCAAAAGACTGTAATTAAAAAAAAAATCTCTATATATAAGAGGTAAGGTAATTCAGAAGTGCTGAACAGGAAAGGATGTAACCACTGAGGCACCAAGCAATCAGCCCTGCCCCTGCGGTCAGTGTGTAACTCCGGGCTCACCCACACAGAGGCTGCCAGGGCCCCCTCGTGGTCACAACATGCCCGATAATCGCAGATGCTCTTGTGCCTCACTGCACCTGCACGTTTTTGAAACAAACTGAGCCAATGAAAACGCCCCTGTCACCACAGCTGTGACAGAGCCTGCTGGCAAACCTTAACTGGGGCACAAGAATCCTTACAGGCAATGAGTGCCCTGGGGTTTTCCCAGCCTTACTAAAAGCCAAGACACTTCCAGCACTTCAAATAAATGACAGTTGTACAAATTACCATACCAGAGGCCAAGACCCTGTTTCCCTGACACTGGACTAAAGTGAGCACACAGGAAGCAAAGAACAGGACATGCACAGAGTTCCAGTCCCACTCCCCAGCTGTAGAACAGTTTATGGTGATTGGGAGTGGGGCTGGCCCAGCCTCATCCCCAATGAGCACAGCTGTGAGCAGCACTGACAGCAATGAGCCACGGAGTGCCCAGGGGCACTGACCAACCACCAAAGGGAACAGAGGCACACAGGTGCAATGCATCAACATGAGGGGATAAAAGGGCTAAAGAACAAGATGAGCAGACACTTGCAGCCTTCTCAAGTGATACAGTGTTAGCCTGCATGGCAGATGCTTGCAGCCTTCTACAGTGGTATGGGGTTACTCTATATGGGTTGCAACTTCATGAAATTGTAGGATGATACTCTGTATATCATGGCCATCTCCACTGTGGCATATGCTGCAACACCTAGCCTTCTATGGCTCAGGGCTTGATACCAAAATGGTGCCTTTATATTTGGCAGATCAATTTTTTTCTTGAGCTTGCCCAATGTTTTTCTAAGGCACATCAAAGATTTTAGCACTCCTAACTCCTGGATGAAAAGAGGCCAGAGGTGTTCCCATTAGAGGCAGTATTTCTTAGTTCTGTATGGAAATAGATACATATAAAATTATGCTTCCTCTGTAATACTGAAAGATTCAAGAATCACTACCATCTGCAAATCAGAAACAAGGATCTAACAGATTTTCATATGCCAGAACAGTTGCAAGCAGCTTGCTTACTCCAAAGAACAAATCTGCTCCTCTATTACAGAGGTCATACTACTTGCTTCAAGACAGTGTCACAAAGCTCAGTGCAAAGAGGCACACAGTGATATCAGTGTCATTAAGAATAAATGAAGTCTCAAGAGTGCCTCATTTAAAGGTCCACATTCAAGCCTGAACATGACCTTCCATTCTATTTCTTAAATGTGAGGCTCAGACATTTCTCCTTGGATGATTACCATGACCCCTCCCTGCCAAAGGCCTTTACATGGTTTAAATCAAAAAACTGCCTTAGGTAATGTTTATCCCCATCAGTTAAATTAACAGAGGTCACTTTGTAAATATTCTTCACTGATCTCATTTATGAAATGGAACATTGTATTTTAAGGCTGCCACAAACACTCTTAGGAATGTGCCATAAATCCATGGATATTATTTAATTAATCCATGCATATAACTTAATCCAGTTCAGAAATAAACTTGCTTATAGATCTCTAGGTTATACCCCAAACAGGAAGTTAGATACAGTTCAGATTTCAAAATGTCAGTTTCCCTGTAAAATTCCCACAGCATCTTTAGGTTTCTGCTGTTTGTTGCACAACTTTTTAAAACTGGCACGTTTCCAAAATAACCAGGAACCTTTCACAGATGTGTTTTCAGTGTTCACGATTTAGGCAGCCCAGAATTGTAAGCACATTTTAAACATTCATAATACTCTCAAAACTGAGGATATATTGGTGCTGCCAGATGATACCATGATGGTACACTGAGATTATTTACCTGGCATGCAAAACAGGTGGACCTCAAGCTATCCCACTTAAATACTTCAATAAACAAAAAACCCCACCTAAATAGAGCTCAATTGTTAGGGCACAAGAAGGAACTTTCAGTCACTATCACAACACAGAATGACACAGAGATATCAGACTTGAACATGAAGACATGTCCTATTCTGATAAGCTGAAATGAGACTTTTCTTTCTCACCAGCTAACTTAGCCCTCCCCTTTTTAAAAACAAATAAAAACTCTTTGGCTGACAGTACCATTCTTGGATGTCCAACTCCTTGTATACCATGTGAGAACAAACCACAAATTTATAAATCATAATTCTGTTCTGCAGCAGAATGCCTGATGTTAACCCAGTTTATGACTGACTGTGAGCATTTAAACCCTGCAGTTTGAATACTGGTGCTTTTATTAGTGCTTTCAAAATGAGGTGATAGGTCTTCTAACAGGAACACCAGCAAAATGTCAGGAGTCTTTGCAAATCCCATTAATGTTTCTTCTGAACAGATGATTTAAATCATTATCTGGAAAACACAAAAAGCTTCACTTAGACTAACAGAAGATGGAACCTGGTGACATAATTATCTGTTTCTAGAGTGTACATGGACAAATTGTTTCAAGTCTTATCAGTAGGTTAAAGTGCTTATCCTCTAATTGAGTGCTGCATATTGCATAATCCAAAAGTATTTGACCACACTAAATATCTTATTAAAAAGCATTCTGTTAAGCTTAATATCTCAAAGGCCAATCTCATAAAACTGCAGTAACTACTAATCCAGTACTTCTATTTAACCTAGTACACAAGACTTCTGATAAGCTTCCCAGCATTTTATAGCAGTTTTTTCAGTGTTCAGCAGACATTACTCTATTTGCTAAACAATATCAGACTGCAAAATTGCTCTCACTGTTGATAGATCAATAATGACACGGGAGAAGTCATTACCTCCGTGGCAACAGGGTGGCAGCTGTGGGAGGAATATTGCGCACGCTGCTGCTGCTCCGGCAGCCGTGCCTCGGCTTCCTCGCTGCTGCTCTCTCTGCAAGCCTGGTGTGCCCAGGGTACCAGCAACCAAGGGCACCTCTTGGACCACAGAGGATCAAACTACAGCTCTACGAGATTTCTGAAAGAATGTATACTCACAAGGGTTTGTTACGCTTGAGTCTGATGTCTTTATGTTACTCATTTTTAATTAACTTTGTAGGAACAGGTAGGACAAAATTCAGGAAGGCAAATACCACAGTATTCTGTTCTTAGCCCAATATTTCATTGAAAGAAAACACTTAGTTGTGTTTAAGAATAAAAAGATATCTTTCTTGTCAATCAATTTTTATTTAATTCCACTTTGACTCTCCAGGAATCTTTATACTTGGTTAAAATGACAAAAGAGACCCCTTGGGATATTACATTTAACACTTGTTAAGTCTTTGCATATTGAAACTGTCCAACAAATAGGAAAACATACTTTTGCTCTGCATAAGTTACTGCAGTTCCAGCTAGCATGAACAGGATATTTTTTTTTCATACTGCAAAACCTTCACCATGTCAATCACAACACATAAACCACAGAAAGCAAACACTCCTCTGTGTCTTGATCATCATGGTGAGCCTGGCTTGTGATGTTTCAATGACAGCAAAACATACCAACTCACAAAATACATGGTGCTCATCAGCAACACAAGATATGAACTTTGCCTTCAGATTAAAAGTGTTTCCTCATAAATACATCTACTTTTAAATACTGCAGCAACACTGTACTTATTCAGAACCTATTCACGTGGGATGACAAAGGGCAAGTTTGTAACAATTCCCTTTGGAATCTGTTCTTAATAAAGTTAAATAAAATGCAACAGAAACGACCCTGAGGGTGGCTTCAAAAAAATTAAAGCAAAGTTGTCACTCAAGCATCAGCTGGATTCCACAAGAAACAAGAATTAGGTGAGCACTTTTCTGAATGCTGAAAACAAGCTGATCTGCAAAACTCTCACAAGAACAGAACTGGATGGTAAAAGTTCTTTTTCTTACAGATATAAATAAGACAAATGGTCATTAATATACCAAAAGTCCAGATGCTACAGCTGCAATATAAATTAGCACTCAAAATACACTGTGACTTGTTATTCGTGAGAGACTGTATTTTAGTACAGAGGAAAACTCATCAACATTTTCTTCTACTTACAGGAGAGGCCCCGCTGCTTTAGGAGACCTCCACGCTCTGCGCCAGGTTCTTGGAAAGAATTCGGCATCTGCCCAGGAGCCCGAGCACAGCTGGCTGCACAGGCCAGTCTGCAGGACACGTTCCAAACCCAGCCCTTCTCTGGCTAACATCAGACAGTTCTGCCCTTGCTCCAGCACCGACTGAACCATCCTGCTGCGCAGGCAGCCAACCCGATCTTGCTCCCATTTCCCCATCCCGCTGCCACCCCTGCCAGGTGCTCGGGAGAAAAGGTCAAGCTGTGCAAAACCACTCGGGTCTCTCCTCTCAGCACCAAGCCCGAGCAGGCACAGCACCGCAACTTTCGCAGGGACAAACCGCCTGCTTTATCCCACCAAAAATCAACCAAACCCGGGCAAAATGAACGCAGTCAAATCCACCCCCGGACACGGCCAAAGCCAGGAAGGCGACAGCCCCATGCAGCAGTTTGCCAGCTGCTCACGCACAGCCTCCGCCGCCTACGAGCACAGAAGGTGCCGACCGAACGGCGCAGCTCGTCCGAGAGCGGCCTCCCCGGTGCTACCGGCGCACCCGAGCACACTCCAGCCCCGCGGCTTCACCCCGCACAGCCGGCCCCACTGCAGCGCAGCCCGGCTCCATCAGCCCCTCTGCAGGGTCTGCCCTGACCCTTAGCCAGCCCCGGCCCGAGGGAGCCCCACCACCAAAGGGCCGGCGGGATAAAACCCAGACCCCGCCCGAGGGCCGGCGGCGCCGGCACGGCCCGGGGGTCTGCCAGGGGCCGCAGGCCCGAAGGGAGAGGCTGAGCGCAGCAGCGGCCGCCCAGCAACGCCTCCCCGCCGTGCGGCTCGGCGCTCCCTGCGGGGGTGCGGGAGGGAAAGCGCAGCCCATCCATGCCGGGGATGGGGGAAGCGCGGCCCGTCCGTCCCAGGGATGGCGCGGGGCCCGGGAACACGGACCGGCAGCGCCCCCCGCGTGCGGGCGCTACCCGGAAACGGATGGAACCTCACGCCAATCGCCCCCCGAGCATCCCAGGAAAGCCCCGCCCTGGGGCAGCCGGACCAATCGCGTCCTCAGAGAGGCGGGATTAATCAATCCACAGTTGATTGACAGGTCCCTCTCCCAATGCAGCCGCAGCCGCTCCGTTCCCTCCACTAGGAAAGCGGAGCCACCTCAGGGTTGCTGGGCGGGACGAGTCTCGCTGTCTCTCAGCACTATTGGTTGTGCCTGCTGATTGGCAGGTCCCTGCGCCTATGCGGAGGAAGCTCTCCGGCGGCCCGTCGAGCCGTGCGCCAATGAGCGGGCGGTGCAGGCGCGGTGCGGCGGTGCCGGCGGCGGGGCGATGAGAGCGGCGGTGCGGGCGGCGTGGCGGATCGGAACCGGCGCCGCTCTGCGAGGCCGGGCCGGGCGCCCGCTCAGCCAGGCGGCCGGGGACGGCGGCGGGGCTGAGGGCGGCGGCGGCTCGGGGTCGCGGGAGGCGGTGGAGCGGCTGGTGAAGGAGCACCCGGTGGTGGTGTTCATGAAGGGCAGCCCGGCGCAGCCGCTCTGCGGCTTCAGCAACGCCGTGGTGCAGATCCTGCGGCTGCACGGCGTGGAGGATTACCGCGCCCACGACGTGCTGCAGGACCCCGACCTCCGCCAAGGTCAGCGCCCGGGTCACCTCTGGGTGCCGCCTCCGCGGGGCCTGGCGGGGGCAGAGCCGGGGCCCGGCTCCCTTGGGGAAGGGCCCTCGGGAGCTGCCGGCAGGTCGGGCTTGTCTTAGCGCCGCTGGCCTCGGGCACTGCGGGAGCGGGCCCTGCCCGCTTGTCCCACCTGTAACTTGCCCCTTCTGGCATTGTTGGGTGGGCTGGGTTGGGCTCTGTTATTTTTTAACGAGGCCAGATGGTGGGGAGAAGGGCAGCGGAGCTGGGGAAGGGTCGGGAGCCCGTGTCCTGTGAGGAGCGGCCGAGGGGGTTTGGCGGTGTTTCACCTGGAGGAGTGCCATGGTGCATGGGACCGGCCGCCTTACTACTCTATAGCTGCATGAACGGAGGCTGTAGCCAGGTGGGGATCGGCCTCTTCTCCCAGGCAACAAGCGACAGGACAAGAGGACAGTTGTAAGTTGTGCCAGGGGAGCCTTAGTTTGGATGCTAAGAGGAATTTCTTCACAGAAGGGGTGATTAGGCATTGGGATGGGCTGCCCAGGGAGATGTTGGAGTCACCGTCCCTGGAGGTGTTTAAGGAAAGACTGGACGTGGCACATAGTGCCATGGTCCAGTTGACAGGATGGTGTTCAGTCTGTTCAGTCGTGGGTTGGGCTCGATGATCTCAGAGGTCTTTTCTAACCTAATTAATTCTGTGATTCTGTTTGGCGTTGGTAGAACTGGAAGTGTATTGCAGAGATGTGCCATTGAGGTTGCTGCCCAGACGCCCTGGTTTGGTTTTTGTGACCCTTGTAGTGTTCAAGATGTCTCAGTTATCAGCAGAGTGCAGTTGTGGGTGCAGGGTGATGACTGGAGATCGGCCTCTTTGTGCCATGCTGCCTTGCCTGGGTCAGAGATAGAGAGCTGCATTAAAGACCCTGAAATACTTCCTTATCAGGTTTTGTCTTCCCTGTGAACAGTATGGTGAAATTTCACGTATGGCTTTGACTTGCATTACTTGATTCCCAGCTGGCACTGCCTGCTGGGATTCTCTTGATGAAGTGCAAATTTATGTTAATCATTTGCACAATAAATACTTAGTAATAGTTTCACCATTACTGCACAGGTGGTAGTAGCTATTCTATATAAGGTTTTTTTGCCAGTTGTAGAAAGCTAGTAATCTGTTCTGGTAATGCTTTTCATCTTTCCCTCTTCAATGAGCATAGCTGATTGTTGAGGTTTTATGTGGCTATTTGAGAAAGTTAAAAAAAAAATACATGCAAGTACATAGTAATTAGTCTTGTATGTGTGTGGCATTAACAGTTCTTGCCCAGAATACACTAAAATGTGCTGTAAAGCCACGTGCTGGCATGTATCAGGTGACTTTGTTCTCCTTTGGTTTTGGTGTCATCTGACTAACTCAGTTTTTTATTAGCTCCTAGCTAAAAAGCTGATTTTTCCAGTCCTTATTTGCTTTTCAATTCACAACTATAATAGTTGGTATAGTATAAAAGCTTAGATACTGGAGTTTCTGTGTAATGACATCTTTTGTTAATGAAGATTGATTTTGTTCAAGTAAATCTTCCTCTGCCTTTGCAGGTGAATCATGGTAATTTTCTAAACTTTGTTTACATATCTGAATTTATTAATTGTACAGTTTGTTAGTACAAACTCTTATCTCTTCTCAAAGTTCATAAACTAAAAAGGAGGAAACAAACCCCTGAAATCAAACCATCAGCATTTCACTTTTGCTTGAGGGGACTTTTGTGAGCCTCTGAATGGGCAATGCCTTTATAAGTTATAGTCCCTGAGCATTTGACCATGTGAATTGATAGTATTTTCTTTCTATGTAATTTAAATTTTTCCTCCACATGAACTCGGGCTTGTGCTGGGCAAGGAGAGAGGTTATTGCCCTCCTGGCTACCAGAGCTTTAAATTGAAATTAGTGTCTTGATCAAGCCCTCCAGTGTCTAAGCTACACAGAATGCAGTTACGGAGTGTACCCTTGCACAATGTCCTGCTGGTTCTCAGGTGCTTAAAGGAGTTGTTCTGGTCCTTTCCATGCACCAGCTTTGGCACCTGTCCAGCTGTGCAGAGGGCCAGCTCATTTTATTAACTGGATCACTGGGCCTGCAAGTTGAAGCAGCAGTTTGTACGGTGAGCTGAATGCCAGAGCCAGCACAAGGAACAGAGCTTTGAGGAGTTGGGGAGTGGCACAGCCACAGCAGACTTCTTGTACTGCTTCAGCTGTATTACCTACTGCACCCCAAAAAGCCAGGATGTGCCTGCTTCTGTGGGTGGCAATCTCAGACAGAGGGAAGGACAGGGCTGCTCAAAGTTGTAGTTGTCTAAGTAGCCAACCCTATTTCAGCAGTGACTGCCTGAAGGGCAGGATCTGGCCTCGAGTGCCAAACATTTAGACATGCACCATGTGAGCCTTTCCTAGGCTCTCTCTGTGAACCTAATCTGCTCTGCATGGGGGCTGGTGAGGGGGCATGGAACCTTTAGCTGTGGAAGTATCAAGTACCTCAGCAAAGGACTGATCTGCAAGGAGATGACTGTGTGAGAGCTGACCCCCAGCTTTGTGTTCACCTAAACCTAACTTCAGTGTTTCGATAAATGTGTGTTTATACATTTGTAGTAGGGGCAGGCTGTTGGAGAAAGGGTAATTCAGTCATGTCTGGATTGCTTGTTGGTTTCTTGCCTGTATCTATTGAAACACCTTATTTTTAGCTAGTTATAGTTCAATTGGTGAAACGTACACTGTGCTCAAATATGGCAAGCTGTAAAGCTGGAACAACTCCCCTGCTTTGCCTCTTTACCTAAAAACTCACATCTGTGAAACTAAAGTTATTGGTACTTCATGTGATCTGTCTGAACTTGAGCTGAAGGCAGACTTTCCTGACACAAATCCTTCCTTATCACAACTGGTCTAAGACACCTTGGCACTCTCTTGGGCTCCATGGCAATTCAGGTTTCTCGAAGTTGGCTCTCAGCTGATGGACAGTGTTAGACTGGTTCCAGTCACTGAGGCAGAGATGTTTGAGATTACATATTGGAAAATTAGTGGTTTAAACTGTTGTGGTAGTTCACCCTCAGATTATTTTCATTGCTGTCTCTACTGTATCTAAGCATGGGATGCTGCCAAGCAGGTGTTGTTGATCCTCTCTCCCACCCTTGGCTAGCCTTCCCTCAGTAAAGCTTGTAGCAGTGCTAGTGGTACTCAGGCTTTGGAATAGGCTGCACAGGGAAGTGTTGGAATCTCCATCCCTGGAAGCATTTCAAAGGCATGTGGATATGACACTTTGGGATATGGTTTACTGGTAAATGATGGTGCTGAGTTAACAGTTGGATTTGATGATCTTACAGGTCTTTTCCAGCCTTAATGATTCTGTGATATCCATGAAAATGTGTTGCTTTCCTGGAGCAAGTGTGGTAGGAATGAGTGTTGCTTGATTCAGTTCTTGGCCCATCCTTCATTAGTGCTAATGCTGCCAAGGGAGGCTGAGAATTGGTAACAGGAGCTGGGGATAGGGGTGGGAGTGTGCTGGGTACCCATTTCAGCAGCTCTTTGCACCAATCCTGGTATCACAGTTACCTTAAACGTGCTACCAGAGCTGTCAGACTGACACCCTGACCTGTGGAGTGTGTTTTTCCAGAGTAAACAGAGGTGCAGAGCAGCAGCTGCAGCTTCTGAAGTACAGCAAGGAGCCAGCCTGCAGAGAGGGGATGGATATCCCTTGGGATGTCCAGAGAATCATGGCAGACGTGCACCCCGAGTGCAGCAATTGCAGCCCCGGCTGACCTGCAGTGTCAGTGGCTGCTGCCCTGGGGGAGGCTTGGTGCCCAGTGGAGGGAGGCTTCAGTCTGTGACCTGGGAGAGCCCCAGCACTGAGGCATTTAAAGCAGCTTGTCCAGCACGAGACATGCAGCACACAGAGCAAATAAGCTTCATGGTATTCTTATTTTTATCTGAAGCTGGATAGGTCCTTGAGAGTACTATCAGTGCTTGTATGTGTGTGCAGTTGGGTCCTTGAAGAAAATATTTCTATGAAAGAATTATTGGTGTAAATATTACCTTGGAATGCTCATTAGCAGAAGGTTTATTATGCAGAGCCCTTGGTTCTCAATTCATGTTTAGCATTGCAGTATCTTGAGAAAAATGAGCCCTATTTCATATCTGCAGTGGTTCTTTGATGAGGGTCATCTTTAGGCATGTCTTAATCGTGGAACATGGCTTTTCATTAAAAATTGGATGGGTTTAAAGATATTTAGGGCAGTTTAAGCAGTTTTAAGTACTCAAAGGCCAAAGAGCATTTAAGAAAAGTATTGCTAAGTGGAAGTTGACATCAAAGCTTAAAAGTTGTGCAAACCAAGGAAGAAACTACAAGTGGTGATGATGGAGGTTGGATGGTTATGGGTTCCTTTTGGCCTTGATTTATGTGCTAAACTTTCTGGTTTGGGCTTACAAAACATTGGTTATCCACGCACAAATTCTGACGTCAGAATAAGATCTCTTAGCTGACATCTGTAGTGGTTAGAAACCCTTAGTCACAACATCCTTTTTTTCTAGGTTGCTATTATTTTAGTGAATTCTTAAGCATGTTGTATTTTGCGAAGGGGAATTAATTATTAGCTATATTGCATCTTTTAGACATTAAAGTAACAATCCCACCGTATATTTCCACTTATACATATTTACTAAAAAAGAAAGTGGTTTAAGTTCCAATAAAGTGAGCATAATTTCCTTACATAGTTATTTTTTTACCTTGAGTATTTTGGGTTTTGTCTTTTTAGTCTCTAGAGACTAAAATGTTTTCAAAGGGAAAAGAAGTTCTCTTGTGCTAGCACTACTCAGGTCTAATATTTGTTGGTGGGGGGTTGGCTCCCAAGGTGAGTGGGCTCTGATGTTCTGAAAAGGTACCTCTGTAGGCTTAAGTTTGTTTTCATGCCTTTGTTGGAAAAATTCCAGGCACTGCATGTTGAAAATACATAAAAATGTTGAATTCAAAACTTGTCATCTAATCAAATACTTGTGGTTGTGTTATAAAAGTAGGCACAGTAGGTTTTAGCTGTTTCCTTTGCTATAGAAATAATCGCTTTGTGTGAAGGGTCATTTAAAAAGTGGCAAATTAGATACAAAGATTCTTGTGTAATTTCTTGTGATGTCTAAGTGCAAGCTGTTTCAATGTGTATCAGCTGATCAGTTTGTATTTTTGGGTGGTCTTACATTTGCCTTCTGTGAAGTATAGTTTAAAACTTTAGCTCTGTACTTCATAATTGTGCCTTGAGCTGTGTTTTGTTAAATGAGCACTTTTAAAAAGACTTCAGCCTTTGTGCCCCTCCCATGTGCTGTAAGGTCTGGCATTGAAAGATAAAGCAATTTGAAATTCATAAGGCCTCTACAGGGGCAAATGTATCTTGCAGCTGAAATTGTAGGAATAAGTGTAAATGTATGAGTTCAGTAAGAGTATAAAGTATTTTAAAAGTCCCTCTGGGAAATACAACAGAAAGTAAACAGTTCTCAATATTTTTCAATACTTCTCACTTCTGTAATTGATTGAAAGTCATGGTTTCTTGTTGGGAGTAAAAAGAGATGTGGCGTTTTTCCAGTTCCTGTGTGAAGTCGGTATAGGAGCTGACCCCATATCTTTCAAGCCACATCTTTGACTTGTGGTGAGAAACAAACCTAACTTTAATACAGTTTTTTTTTTTTTGATAGTGCTCCTGGTTATGTAGACATCTTTTTGCCTTTATGGGAAAGAAATTGGAGTATCAGTGGTGGAGTCAGGTGGAAGCAATGCATTCCTTTTAAAATACTGTTCTACTAGGAGAGGGGAGAAACCTCTAATTTTATTTTTTTTTCTTATTCAGGAATAAAAAACTACTCCAACTGGCCTACCATCCCGCAAGTGTACCTCAATGGTGAATTTGTTGGTGGCTGTGATATACTCCTCCAGATGCACCAGAATGGAGATCTTGTAGAAGAGCTGAAGAAACTGGGAATCCGTTCAGCACTGCTGGATGCAGAAAAAGACCAAGAGAAAAAGTAACAAGAGAAAAAATTGCTGTGACAGGAATAAAGCAAATCTTTGATAAGAACTTATTGCCCATAAAGCCTTACATACTTTAGGTCAAGGAAAGCATCTGTTTGAGCTGACACTAAGTGAATGTCTCTTAGCTCATGGTAAATGTAGTGATCTTGGTGTTTTGATTTATGGGTATTGTGAAAATTTGAGTATAACCACTGCACTGTAAAGCAAATGTTTGTGAAAATTTGTGTTTTAAAAAAGTTCACTTCTAAAAGCGCTCTTCTTCATTGAGGTGGGAGTAAACCAAAAGAACTAATAATATTTTTATGGGTTTTACATGTGTGATTCTCTGTTCTTTGATACATGAACATGTACAAACAGCATTTGCATTCCCTTGCTTCTCTTGAAAAAGCATTAAGTAATAGTGCATCTGTTTTTCTGTTTAACTTCTGGTGATAAGAGAGCCTGTAAAACCTGTGTAATCACATACATATAGGAGAAAAACAGTTTGCCAACAATATAGGAGGAAAAAGATTATATGAGAGTGCATGACATACACTTTTATTCCGAAGGGTAAAAATAAACAGAACTTGTACAAATACATGTATAGTGGTCATTATTACTTTGTAACTTTCTGATGGCTTTTAAAACTGCTAAGAATTGTGCCTGAATATTTTATAAAACCTTTTCTACCTCTTGCAAAACAGCTTTTCCCCATGCTTATATATTCTGTGTATGGGAGCTCTGTGTCAGTGCTAAAATGTGGGAATTATTTAAGGCTTCAGTATTCTAGCTTGAAATAGTACAGGAGAAAACTTCAGTTATTACTGTAATCTTGTATTATTTGCTTGTTATGTTTTTACATTTGTTGTGTTTCCAAGTGTTTTCTCCTGACTGATGTGCTCAGGAGAATAAGCCTTCAAACACAGGATTTACAGATGAAATGTTCATGTGGGTAAGATGAGTGCAGCAGAAAGGTTACTGAATGGATAAATATTTCTTTTTGGAAAGTCTCTGAAGTTTTCAGTACCTACCTAACCACATTTCTCTAAATGAAAAGAAATTATATTAACCAGTGTAGCTTCAGTTCTATAGCAATACTGCTAAGATTAAAAGCTAACCAAGCTATTTTTAAATGCAGTGTAATTAATATAAACCAGTCTGCATGTGAATTAGGCAAATGGTTGGAAATAAACTGTGTTTTATGTTGATTATCTACAGTAGTTGCTCTTTATTTTAAATGTCTGATGAAACTGATACTACTTTTGATTGGAAGCCTAGGATGTTTTCCACTGCATGGGATATAAAATGTGTTCTGGAGAAAGAAGAAATTAGAAATGGTCAGTGAAAGACAAGAACAGGACTGGAACCTGTTCTCTCCTGTAGTCAGGAGAGATTTGATGTAAGTTCTGGTTCTGAATCTCTCCTGCCCACTTGAGCTAGCAGTGGAGAAGCTCTACTAGAACATTCTGCACAGGATTTGCCAAACTGACAGCAGTAAGCTCACAGTACAATTGTAATGCAGTCAGGGTCAGCAGGATTAGATACAGTGTGTGTGTTGTGGGTATTCACTGCAGGTCTGTGGAGGTCCCTGTGTGGCCACTGTGTAGCAGGAAGTTCCACTTGGGGCTGTGAGGCACCGAGGTGTGAGTGCAGTATTTTTTTGTTCATGTGCCACACCACATCATGCAAAGCTTAAGGTATCCATGAATGTTTGTTCTGAGCATTTGAATTCAGATTAAATGAACTTTCTTATGGCTAATCGCTAGTAGCTTTTGCCATTCTGAATGTAAAATAATGTTTAAAAATAGAAGTAAATTTCAAAAGTCTTTGGTTATTTGTGTTGACCTATTGAAATGAATGTACCCAGTAAACAAAAAGGTAATGAAGAAAATTTAATTATTTTCTGCTTCAGTAGTTAACTCTTAGTCTGACTACTAAATAAATCTATTAAAAAATAATCTCCCATAATTGCTGTTTCATAGCTCTCTAGTTTTCTGCACAAACAATATTTTTCAGTAATATCTGCCAGCAATTTAACATAAAGGAAATTTCAAGATTGTCAGGTAGTCTTTATTCTCTATGCAGCAAAATTTTTCTCCCAGCATGGGTTCCTGCTTTTAAAAACCATGGAAGTTTTTCTACTTTCTCTACTATCTTCCCCTCTTTGGATTTTAATTACTTGATTAAACCTTTGCATAACATACACACAGTAGTGTTTATATCAATCTCTACCTGACTGGAATATGTTACTGAGCAAGTAACAGCAACTGTGATTCCATGAAGTGTGTGTGACAGAGCCACACTGAGGAATGAAATTGGGAATTCTGCCTGCATTCCCTTGCAAGCTGTACATTTCCAGCCAATGTGTGCATGAGCAGTTGGTCTACATTGATAAAAATGATCATGTTAAACCAGCTGCAATAAAAAAAATTACCATCTTCTTAAATTGTAAACTTCAGATGCTCACAAAGAGCTTTATTTTGTTGTTGACTGAGAGTATTTTCCCCAAGAAACTAGTTCTAGGGGATCATTTTAGAAGATGGGCAGCATTGTGCACTCTGCTCATCATCCTCTGCTGTCCCTCAAACCAGAGGCAAAAGGGCACATATGCTTCCAATCCCAAAGGGATGCTACAGAGAAAGTGATTTTTTTTGAGGAAAAAACCCCTGCCTCTCTTGAGGAGAGATTTGCACCTGCTTTTCTCATGCTCTAAGGCAGTGGGAGAAGGCAACTGATAATACTGGAGTGTGGAGTGAGTACCAGTGAGTGTGCTGAGCTCACACTGGGGGCCTGGTGCCAGCTGGAAGCTCCATGAGGAATCCTTGGTCAGGAGGATGTGACAGGTTCTGTGGAATAAAGGGTGACTTTTTCTCTCCCCAGGAGGAGCAGCTTGTCACAGGAGGTGAGGGAGGGGATGGGGAAGCTGCCACAGCTGCTTGTTCTTCCTGGGTTCCTCAGCTGTAGAGTGAAGACTGAAGAGGTAACAGTGGTCAAGAGCATGCCTTGAGCAGGCCAACTGAATTGCTGAGGACAGCCAACAGCAAAAACATGGGGACCTGTCCCTGGCATCTTTGGTGAAAGGCAAAGCTGCCTGGTCGTGAGCTGGGTCTGCTGTGGTAAGCATAGGGCAGGGAGCAGGGCTGGGCAGGAGCATTGCAGGATCAAGGTTGGGTCTGGAGCTGCCAGTCCTATTCCTGCTCTTTGTGTTCTTGTGTGTTGGGCCAGGCAGGAATTCTGCCTGCTCCTCTGGTGAGATGCTGCTGGATCCCTCTTGGTTGGACTGCCCTGCTGAGAGCTTACAGGGAGATACTTGGGAATGCATGTAAACTTAGGTGGGATTGTTATTCTATTATAGGGTTGCAGTATAGGTGTTTGCCGAACTGGAAACCATTACTGTAATTATTTACATTTTATTCTGAGGATGCCCTTGGTGTTGCTGCTGTGCTAAAAGGCTGAACAGAGTGGACCAACCTATCCACCAGATCATTCATTAAGATAATCTTTTGTATTTGCTAGCACTTCATACCTCTTTGATATGAAAAAAGATGCTTTGGTTTAAGGAAATGACATTGTTCACATTCCAAAGCTGATCTACTGTCTTAAACCTTCACCAAAGTGGGGTGTAAGATTTCTTTGCTCTTCTTGAGCTGGTCCTGTTAAGGAGCAGAAGGAAACAGGTTGCAAACACGTGCTATTGTGCTGCTAATTCTGTGTTGGGAGCATTAAAATCAATTACCACAAAAGTTGTTTTCCTGAGAAAACAGCTGTTAACAGCTCAGGGCATATTAACGGCACAGCAAGTGTGACACAGCAAGTGTGTTTCTCAGTCCCAATGACTTGCCTTAATTTTGCTACCAAATGTTTGGACATGGTCATTATTCTTCATTGCTTGTCTGCTCTGGAAAAATAACTTTATACCATCTAAATGCCCTGAAATACTTAAGTGCCTTTCTTTTAGGTCTGACAAACATGTAGGCTTATTTTCATGTTCTCACTGAGTTCTCTGGTTCTCTTTAAAAAGTAGGCTAGAAATCTTTGGCAGGAGTTTTCTGGGAGTCTGTCAATACTAACAAAGTGCATGGAAAACAACCAAGCTTGAGAACATGAAATCGAAGAATTGTAGCAAAGATAATCTCTCCTGAGCTGTCACCAAGAATCCCAGCAAGACCCTGGCAGTGCCTGCCTCTAAGAAGGGCAATATTAAAAAGCAGAGCTGGCAGCCTGATCAATAAATCCCTGTCCAATCTGATTTGCATGTCCCTTCTGCAGAAACCAGATCATCTTACACAGGTTTGTTAAATATCCATATTACAGGACTGTGGAAGAAAAAAACACTCATTAGTTACAAGATAGATGTCACCTGTAAGTTAAGGAATCTGTGAGAAAAGGTGCAAATAAAATAAGGAAAGGTAAAGAGAGTGGAAAGGGTTTGGATTGTTAGTGGTGCTGGGTGGTAGGTCAAGCTTGCTTTTTGGCTGAGAGAGTTGAGATGAACACACTGCTCTGCAAAGGGCTGTGGTTCATCCTCTGGTTTTGGATTTTCCTTTGGGATGCTGCTTGTTTCATTTAATAGCTCTGTCAAAGCAGTGCTGTCTCTGATGTGACCTGATCATGGCCTTGCTGATTTAACTACTTGAGGCCTTCCCTGGAGTCTCCCAGGGAAAGCAGGTTTTAGTTACGCAGAAAATAGGACTAAAATAGCTAAGTGGATTCAGGTCTTATTTTCAACGGGTGTTTTCCCAATCATCCAGGTTCTGGTTATGTCTTGTTTTTCTGGAAGTAAGGAAGTAGGAAGACCATGGTATTCCATAAAATCCATGGTAGTCATAGGGTGTAACTGAGATGAATGCACAGTGCTGTATGTAATCAACAAGCATTTGTATCTTCCCAGTTTTGAGGATCACATCTTAATTGGACCATAGAAATGCTGGCAAAAGAGCAGGCTGCTGGCTTATACTCCCCTTTCAAGAAGAAACAAAACCCTTTGAGGTGCAGGTGGTGATGGTTTATAATTACCTAAGAAGAATCCAAAGGCCAAGTTCAATATGAATTTTAAAACAACTTTGCTACTAAAAGATGTTAATTTAGCAAAAAACAAGGAAAATTATTTTTTTTCTTTTCATTGTTGCAACAGTTTTATATAAAAAGCCACGAGACATGTATATCTGTATTTTTAGTTACATATTGTCCCTCCTAACTTAAAACTTGCATGAGGGACCCACTTAGAATCTTTTAAAGGTGAGCTTCTGTAAAATTTTGCCAGGCATTTAACAGTAAATTAAGTTAAAAGGGGCTTTGGATGAGTATTGAATTAAAAAAAAAAATCATTGACCTAAACTTTTTTGGCTTATATAAGCACAGCCTTCAAAGCATGAAGGATTTTATGTACAATTTAGCCTCAAAACACTGAAACAAATCTTCACTTTGCAGACTAATGAAAACTGAAATACAAAATTTATTTGTTACTTGTATGATAATAGAGAGAATAAAGTTTTGGAGCCTTTAGTCTTAAACCTATGATCACATGCTTTTACAGGGTGCATCTCAACAAGCATTTTAGAGATTTCAACTACACACTACAAGGAGTATCTTTGAAATACTACTTGTCAGACAGGCTTTCCCCATTGAATGGTAATACTTTGAAATCTACCATTTCTACTCTTTTCCATAATTTCACTTGTCTAAATTCTAAACAGCTCTTCAAGGAGATTTTTTTCCTTGAAGAAAGTATAGGCATTCTCTGAGAAGCAGCACATGATATCCATGAAGACTGGATACATATTTAAACCTTCACAGCTCAGGAAAAGAGCAGATTTAGGGCTGGTATTCAAGAATGCTTTGTACCGCTGATTAAAAAAAAATACACATTCTAGTATTCTTCAGTATTCCATTTATTTACTCATCCATCTGTGATACTTCATGAGAGACAAGCAATAGGATGTGAAAGGAAACAATTGCAAAAATATTGATAGTGTCTGACAATAAACGGAACACGCTTTTATACAGAGAAAAGCTGCGGAGGGTCTTCCCGGGGAGATGCTCCGGGGCGCGCTGCCGGCAGCCGGGCACCCAGGAGATGGCGCTGTTGGACCGGGGAAGCGGCACAGCCCTGACCCAGAAGCATCTTTCAATGCGGTCCTCCCTGTTTTCCATCTGTGTTGCATTTTACTCTTTGGGGTGCTCGTTCTCTTTGGGAGAAGCCGGTGTCGGTGT